CAGCCCCTCTGGCCGTGGACACCTTCTTCGGGGTGTTCTTGGCCATCTTCTGGGAAACCTCGGGGATCGGGTCGAGTTCCCAAGCCACCGCGGAGTGCAGACTCTGACGGCGCGGCCTGGCCGGCCTGGCGCCTGCGCTGGACTGGCTCGCTGCGGGCTGCACCGGGTCGCTGAGTCGCAACCTCCGTCTGCTGCTCGCGGAGGTCGACGGCTGCGGGGGGGTTAGCGCCAGCGGGTCGACCCCCCTCGGGGAGAAGGCGGCGGACGCGGCGGGCGCCTCAGGGGTCTTGGCGGCCGGCAGTGGGACCGACCTTCTCGCAGCCTTGCTGCCTCTGGCTACGGGATCCCGGAGGCTGAACCGGTTGGCGCATGCTGAGCGGCTGGTGGCGACGAACGCATGGCCGTCGCGCCGCAGGCCCAGGTGGGACCACAGAGTTGTTATACGACTGAACTGCCGGTGGCACTCCGGGCACGAGTATTCCTTGCTCCCAATGAGTGACTGCTCTCCTGCTTGAGCTTCGGTCTCGGGGCGTTCAACACGTTTCAGCAGAATAGGCTTCCGATCAACAAGCACTTCCTCAATATTTGAATCTTGAGCTTGCACATCTTGAGCTTGAGCATCTTGAGCTTGCACACCTTGAGCGTGCGCATTTTGAGCGGGCAGATCTTGAGAGAGCGCGTTCTGGAGGTGCACGTCTTGGGAGTTCGCGTCCTGGGAGTCCACGTCCTGAGGGTGCGCGTCCTGGGAGTCCACGTCCACGTCCTGAGGGTGCGCGTCCTGGGAGTGCGCGTCCTCCTGGGAGTGCGCGTCCTCCTGGGAGTGCGCGTCCTGGGAGTGAGTGTCCTGGGAGTGAGTGTCGTGGACGGGCGAGTCGATGACGGTGATCTCGATAGGCGCCAAGGACGCTGCATGTTGAGCGGCCTGGTGATCCAACAGCAGCCTGTGCGTCCGGAACGCCGCGCGGCACTCGCTGCACAGGTAGTGGCGGGGCTGGTGGAACACGCCGTTGTGCATCTCCAGCCCGGCTGCGTTGGTGAAGCGCGGTCGGTGGGGGCAGCGCTGGCAGCACCAGTCTGACTTGCTGGAGAAGTGGGCGACGCCATCCTCTAGATCGGTATTGTCACTCTCGGCGAGAGGCGGAGGCAGCGGGTCGGAGATGAGAATAACATCGTTGTTGGTCTCGGGGGCGCCGGGCGTGGCGAAGGGCGTGGCGGAGGGCGTGGCGAAGGGCGTGGCGCCGCTCGCCGGGGAGTGCTGCGCGTGCTGCGGCGGTGAGGCCTGGGCCCAGGCCGTCGCGTACTGGAGGGGCTGGGCGGGCGTCTGACCCACCGACATGAAGGTCACCTCCGGCACGTCCTCCACCGCGGTCCTGGACACATCCGGCAGCACGTCCGGCGTCGCGCCGCGCCACGGCCCCGAGTGCATGCTGACGTAGTGGCCGCCAAGGCCCTGGCAGCCCTGGCCAGGACCAGCCAGCTGCAGTGGGTCGGCCAGTTGAGAGCCAAGCGCTTGGACTGAAGGGTGCGCCAGCGCAGCGTCCAACTGTTCAATGTCGCTGAAATCGTCGATGTTGCCGAACTGGTCGACACCGAGCTGTTGGAGGTACTGCAGAGTCTTGGTCGGGGAGCCGAGCAGGCTTTCCGTTACGCTGGGGACATGGAGTGGAGACGGCGACGGCGTCGCCAAGTCAACCTCCATCGTCGTGCCAGGCGTGCACGCGCAGCTCGGGGAGTGGCAGTCCGTGGAGTGGCAGCCCGGGCCCGGGGTGGTGTAGCCTGCGGGCAGAGAAGGGGATTGGCAAGTGGAAACAGAGCACCGCCCAGAGCACCCAGCCAACGTGCAAACACAACAAGCTCGCTACAATCCACATGCTACTACACATCGAACTAGCTAATATCACAGGGAAGGGTACTGTCTACTACACTACATTACAACAACAAAAAGGCACAAATACGTTGTTTTATTATTTTAAAAAAGGACATAAACCAATGTAAAAAATTTTAAGACTCCAGAAAAATCCAAAAATATTAAGTCAGCTTGACTTGGCCTTGCACATCTCAACCAAGATACAGCTAAGCATTGCTTGCCTCGCAGACACACCACCCGGTTGGAGTCGTGGGAGAGCCTGCACACACAAAAAAACAGATCAGCAGAGAAGTCAAGGACACCAACAAACAAAGAGTATTTTTAAAAACGGAGAACGAAAAATGGTGGACAAAGTTCAAGAATTCATTATAATTTTATTCATTTTTTTAGCCACAGACGACAGTTTATACAATGTAAATTAACTGGGTTCGCGGAACAAAATATATGGCTTCTACAAACACAAGAATTGAGTGAAACAGATTGCAGCTAAGGCAAGTAACAAAAGTTGCACAACACAAACAACAGTGAAACGAGAGGACTGTTCTCACAGCAAAGCTCGAGAAAATTCAGTCCGGGCATGGACAAGCAGCCCTACTTGCTCTTGGAAAGCCCATTGCGGTGCGCGCGGTGCGCCTGCTCCACGTGGTCGAGACAGAGCTTGGTGTTGGAGAAGCGCTCCCCGCACAGAGAGCACCTGAACTCGTTGGAGTGGGTGGCCTCGTGGCGCAGCGCGTGGCTGCGCGTCAGGAAGCGCTTGGGGCAGCGCGCGCAGCCGTGAGGGCGGTCCGCGCCGTGGGCCACGACCACGTGCTGCTCGAGCTGCTCCAGCGAGCGCAGCTCCAGCGGGCAGTAGAAGCACGCCAGCACGTCGTCCGGGTCGACCTGCGGCAGCGTCAGCTCGCGGCACTCGCGGCCGACGGGGAGCGCCTCGTTGCGCCGCACCACGCTCTGCGCCAAGGCCGCGCTCTTGGACGTGCCCGCGGCCCGCGCGCCGTGGGTGCGCTCGGCGTGCCGGTTGCGGCTGTCCAGCGAGCGGAACGCGGCGCGGCACGACGCGCACTTGAAGGGCAGCTCGCCGGTGTGGCCCAGCACGTGCCTGGCCAGCGCGTAGCGACGCCGACGGGGGTAGCGCTGCGGGCACAGGCGGCACTTGATGTGCTTATCGCCCATCAGCTCGTCGACGGCGTCCTTGTGGGACAGGAAGTGCAGCACCGCGTCGGCCAGCCCCACCACGCCGGCACCGCACACAAGGCACCTGCGGCAGAGAGCCAAGTCAGCCAATGGCAAAGAAGTATAGGTCGGAATCCCCGGCCCGTGGGCAATGCCAGCCAACACCCTTCTCACCTGTCGGGCGCGCGCTCCTGGTGGCCCTGGACGTGCTTTCTCAGGCTGGAGTGCAGGTGGAACGGCATCAGACACAAGCCGCACCTCAGCATGTCGTCCTTGGCCTTCGCCTTGCCCTTGCCCAGCACGATGCTCGGCATCTTGCGTGAGCACGACATGGAGCGCCGGGGCTTGCTCTGGTCCCTCGCCGACGTCCTGGAAGGCGCCACGGACCGCGACCGGCCTAGGCGATGCGGCGACGGCCTGCGGTGGCGGTCCGCGCGGGAGGCTCGCGACGCGCTGCGGTGGCGGGCCTTGGTGGACGCTCGCGACGCGCTGCGGTGGCGAGCCTTGATGGATGCTCGCGACGCGCTGCGGTGGCGGTCTTTCGTAGAAGACCGGGACGAGTTAAGGTGCTGGTCCTTGCGAGAGAGCCGGGAAGCGCTCTGGTGCTGGTCTTTGCGAGAGGCTCGCGACGCACCCTGGTGCTGGTCCTTGCGAGAGGCCCGTGCCGACCCGTTGACCGCGCGGCCCGCCGTGCACGGCAGGTTCTCCAGTCGGACGAAGCAGGGCCGCAGTTGGTCGCTGGGATCGCTGCGATCGCGGCGGCCACGCGAGCCGCGGGGGCTGCCCGGGGGCGTCGGAGAGGCGCCGCCGAACCACAGGCGGTACTCGTTCAAGGCCTCCACCTTGACGAGCGTGATGATACCTGGGCAGACAAGATCAAGGATTGACAAGGTGTGGCTGCAAGCCTCGGAGAAGGCAGGGCAAAACAAGAAAAGCAGCACCATTCCAGCAGCAACCAAGCCGGCCCACCACCACAGAGTGAAAGGCGCGAGGGGAATCGGGAATCACGAGACAGAGCGACGGTCAACATGTTTTATTGGACTCAACGCCGTGGCAGCGCGCCACATGGCGGCGCAGCTCGTACTGCTTGCGCACGCGGTACGGGCACTGGGCGCACGCCAGGGGCTTGCCCGTGTGCGTGTACACGTGCTCCTCGAGGGACTGCTTCTTGCCGAAGCGGCGCTGGCAGAAGTCGCACTCGAACGGCTTGGTGTGCCGCAGCGTGTGCTCAGAGAGGTCGTGCATCACGGCGAAGGACTGTCCGCAGCCGGCCACGGTGCAGGGGTACGGCCGCAGTGCCGAGTGGGCGCGCGCCACGTGCCTCTTGAGGCAGAACCGGTTGGAGAAGGGCGTGTTGCAGTCGGGGCAGACCACCCCGCCGCCGGGCACGTCGACGAACGTAAACTCTGCAACAGGAAACACAGTCAGACAGGGCAGTGGAGGCAGTGGCGTTGGCGGTCAGGGGGTGAGGGAAAAACAAACAATCAATTGTGGTTTAGATGTGTCTTATTCGTAAAACTTTAGCTCTCAACATAGGAAACACGAAGAGCTAGGGCGCGTTGTGCGACGCTAGCTCCAAGGGGTGCCACTTGCGCATGTGCGCGTGCCGGTTCGAAATGTCGTTGAACCAGCGGTCGCAGAACAGGCACTTGTAGGGCCGCTCGCCGGTGTGAGTGCGCTGGTGCTTGCGGAGGTCGGCGGGCCGCGGGCAGCGGTAGTCGCAGCGGTCGCACTGCAGCATGGGGCGGGCGGCACCGCGGCCTAGGCGGGGCTGCGAGGGCAGCGGCACGACCACGGGCAGCGGGGCGAGGGCACGCCAGCCTGCAAGCACCACACGTGTCAGGACACTGCCGCACTCCGTCCGAGGACAACAAAGGGAAACGACGACATCAACTCACCATAGAGACTAGAGCAAAGCTACGAGAGCACCAGTGTGATTAAGATTTGAATAAAAATAATCAACGAGCGTAGATTTGCGCATTTATTGCAACCATACTGATAAATTGATTACAAGGAACAGCAGACATGTAATGGATAGCTAAAAAAAAGGAACCATTGATAATTGATACACCGGCCTAGGAAAAGTGTTATACAAACTGAGGAGTGGATCGCACTCGTTAACAGTGATCAAAAACGCATTTCCAAAGTGCAAACACTAAGTTGCCATTGTAAATAATCTCAAAAACATTAACAAGATAGAGTTGGTCACATAAGATAACTAGCAGAAAAATTGATTTTAAGAAACTAAATATTAACATGCGAGGACTATCAAATTGATTCTTAACACTATTTTCAGTCAACTCCTGAAACGTCGTCAAAACCAAAACCACAATCTTAAAATTACGGCATAAAGCACAAGTCAACGAGAGGGAAAAAAAAATCTCTAATCACATTCTAGCATTGGTCCAGTTGACGAAACCGGCACTGGGCGAGAGTGAGGCCTTGACAAGGCGGCGCTTCGCTCCTGCCCAGTGCCGCTCCCTCGTCCGTGGCGGCGAAGCGCGCCAAGCAGCCTCAGCACTCGGCGGTGCGCGGGGGGTGCGCCGTGCGGACGTGTTCCTTCTTGGCGGCCAGCGAGCTGAACTGCTGGCGACAGCAGACGAGTGCCTTGAGGCTCGCCTTGAGGCTCACCTTGTTGTGCAGCTTCATGTGGCGCAGCAGGTTGCTGGACAGGGTGAATCGTGCGCGGCACTGTTGGCACGAGAAAGGCTTCACGTCGGCGTGCACGCGCTGGTGCGAGCTCAGCCCGCTCGACGTCGCAAACACGGCCTCGCACTTGTCGCAGGGGTAGTCCTCGATGTCCAGCCTGGCCTTCTTGGGAGGCGCGGGCTTGGCGGCGGTCTTGGCGGCGGTCTTGGCGGCCGGCCCGGTCTTGGCGGAGGCGTGCCTGGTTTTGGAGTGCGCCCACAGCATGTGGCGCGCCTTGAAGCGCGCCGGGCACTTGGGGCACTTGAAGCAGCGCGCAGGCGCGACCGGCGTGGCTGCGGGCTGGGCGGCGACAGCTAGTTCCGTGCTCAGCCCCGTGGCCGCCGAAGGAGAGGCCTCGGAACCAGCCGCCCTCTGGCCGTGGATCTTGATGTGGTTGAAGAGGTTGATGTTAAACCGGAACGACTGTGGGCACAGGTGGCACTTGAACGGCTTGGGTACACCATCGTCAGCGTGCCGCTTCTCGTGTGTTTGAAGCTTCTTGACGCTGGTGAAGGTCAGCGGGCAGCTGCCGCAAGTCAGGAAGGCAGTCGGGGTGGCAGCCGGTGGGTTGGACGGCGTCGTGGAGGACGTGTCGCTGCCTTGCTCCGACGCTGAGCTCGAGCGGTGCATGTCTTTGACGTGTGCCCAGTGCGCGCGCCGGTCTGGGAAGCTGGACCCGGGGCACCTGGTGCAGTGAAACCTGCCCGACGTCTCGCCCTTCTCGTGGGCCGCGTCTCCGTTGATGGAGGCGCTGAACTCTGGATCCACGTGAATGCGATAGTGCCACCAGTGACTCTCCAGGTCGTGGAACACTTCCGGGCACTTGCTGCAGCGATACTCCTTCGCCCGTGGAAACTGTGGTGATGACTCCAGAGCCGCTGTCGTGGATCCGTCTGCCGCTAAAGTAATCTCCGCCTTTGCCCCACCAGCCACAGTGGCCTCAGTAGCTTTATCAGTCACACTGGCCTCAGTAGCCTCACTCGCCACAGTGGCCTCGCCATCCACTGCAGCTTCAGTTGCTCCAGTCGACTCTATTGCTTCACTTGTCTCTGGGGCTGCCTCGGAGGCTGCTTCCAAGCTTGCCTCAGCAGTCGCCCGTTCGCCGGGTGTTTCTTCTGCGGTCACCTCAACCGCGGCGGCCTCAGTCTCACTGCAGTGCACGCGGTAGTGCCACCAGTGACTCTCCCGGTCGGGGAACACCTCAGGGCACTGGCTGCAGTTAAAGTTCTTGGGCTCGTACACATCCTCCATGTCCATGTCGAGAGCGGTGCCGGTGTGTGCTGCCCTGTAGTGGTGGAAGTGGCTCTTGCGGTCGCGGAACACTTCGGGGCACTTGCTGCAGTGAAAGCCCTTGGCCTTGGACGGCGCTTTGGCCGCTTTGGCCTTGGGCGGCGGCTTGGTCGCGGCGGCCGGGAGAGCCACTTCGTGCACCTGCTTCCAGTGACGGCGGTGCGCCTTGAGGTCCGGGAACGAGTCGCCGCACTTGCTGCACTGGTAGCGCTTCGCCGTCGTGGGGTCCTCGCCAGGGTCGTCCGTCAGCTCCACCACTTCGTACGAGCCGGGTCCGGCGTCCGCGCCGTGCACCGTCTTGTAGTGCCACCAGTGGCTCTGCGTGTCCAGGAAGATCTCCTTGCAGGGCGTGCACTGGTAGCCCCACTCGCCGCTGGGCAGGCTGGGCAGGCTAGGGGCGGGGGCCGCGGCGGCGGCACGCGGAGTCACGTGGATGGCGCTGTGCAGGAAGCGGCTGCGGCGGTCCGGGAACACTTCCTCGCACTTGGCGCACGGAAACGACTGCTTGGACCGTACCTCCTCGCACACGGGGCCGTTGTCCTCCTCCACGTGCTGGCGGAAGTGCCACCACAGCTCGGCCGGAGTGTTGAAGCGCTCCTCGCACCGACTGCAGCGTTGCTCCGCGGCGTCATCCTCCACGTCGGCGTGCACCGTGTGGCTGCGGTAGTGCCACCAGTGCGTCTCCAGGCTGTGCGACAGCTGGTCGCACTTGAGGCAGCGGTACTCCACTGCGTCTCGCTTGGCGTCCTCTGGGTGGCACAGCTCTTCATCGCAGTGGACGCGGTAGTGCTCCCAGTAGCTGTCCTCGTCCTCGAACCGGCCGCAGCACTCGTCGCATTGCAGCTGCAGCTCGCCTTGCACCAACTGGTAGGACTCGTCCAAGGACTGGTAATGGCGTCGGTAATGGTCCCAGTGGGCGTCCTCGTCGGCGAACACGTCCGAGCCTCGGTCCGAGCACAGCAGGCAGCGGTACCCGGGCTGGCGCGCCACCACCACGAAGCTGAGGCTCACGCCGGGGGCGTGGTCCCGCTCGTGCCACCAGCGACTGCGCTTGTCGGGGAAGCACTCGGAGCAGCTGGCGCAGGGGAACGTCCCGACGGCCAGGGGGTCCTCGGGGTCCTCGAGGTGCTCGCCGTCGTCGGCGTGCTCCGGGTCGGCGTGGGCCTTGTAGTGCCACCACTGACTCTCCAGGTCGTCGAACACTTCGGAGCAGCTTGCACACCGGTACTGATCCTGGTTCGTCTTCTGCATGGCGTACTTCTTGTGGAGCGGCTCGTCGGCGTGGACCCTGAAGTGGCGCCAGTGGCTGCCTTCGTCGGGGAATGTTTCCGAGCACTGGGTGCAGCGGTAGCGGTGCGTGGGGCGCCACTCGGGGCCCCTGTCCGCAAGATGCACCTCCTTGTAGTGCTGCCAGTGCTCCGTCTCGCCCGGGAACTCGGCCGGGCACAGGCTGCACCTCACGTAAGTGGCCAAGGGGTCCACATCGTTCTTGCCGAGATCGCCGCGCACCTCCACACACGTGTCCTCCACCTTCTCTTCGCCCTCCATGTGCTCCCTGAAGTGCCACCAGAGGCTCATCCTGTCCTCGAACTCTTGGGCGCAGGCACCACACTTCAAGCTCCGCTGGGCGACGCTCGCCACCCTCCTCATCTGTTCGGCGGCCTCGGGTGCGTGCTCCTTGTAGTGCTCCCAGTGCTGCTTCTTGCTGACAAAGACCTCAGGGCACTTGGTGCAGCGGTACTTCTTGGCCTTGACATCGGCCTCCACCTTGACGGCAATGTCCATGGCGGCGGTGTGCACCATCTCGTGGTGAAGCATCTGGCTCTTCTTGTCCGGAAACACCTCGGGGCACTTGCGACAGCGATAGGCCTTGGCGTCGGCGGCTGCTGAGTCGTCCTGGGAGGTAGCCTGGGGGGTGGTCGCCGGGGTCGTCTGAGTGGCGGGAGTGGTCGCAGGGGTGGTGGAGCCAGAGCCCCCGAACCGCCGACCGTGCGCCTCCTTGAGGTGCGCGTACAGGGCCTTCCTGCCAGCGAAGCGCTTGCTGCACCGGCTGCACCGCATGGAGTTCTTCAAGAACTTGTCGTCTAACTGAGGCGTCATCTGGTCCGCGACGTCTCCAGTTTCATTCGGGGCCACCGGAGCCTCGGGCATGGCGGCGTCGTCCGGGTTCATCACCACCATGGCCCCCGAGTGCGTCTTGGAGTGCGCGAACAGGGCTCGGCGGTCGGGGAAAGGCTGGGAGCACTTGCCGCAGCGGAACACCTTCTGCGGGCTGGCCTGCGGGGCCTGCTGCGTGGCCTGCTGCGGGCCCTGCGTGGACTCGTCGTCGTCCACGGCCTGCAGCTCGGCCTTGACGCCGTGCGTCTGCCGGTGCCAGTACAGCAACTTCCTCGTCTTGAAGCGCAGGCCGCACGTGCCGCAGGCGAAGGCCTTGCCGTAAAGGCGAGCCACCTTGGGCGCGGCGCCGGGACACACCTTGCGGTGGTTCCACTTGGACTTGTACTTCTCGAACACTAGAGGGCACGTCTCGCACGGGTACACCTTGGCTGAGGGCGCGGCCGGCGCGGCCGGCGCGGCCAATGGGACTTCAGGCTGCAGGGCGGGAGGTGGCGGATCTTCCTCCTCGCGGTGAGTCTTGAGGTGGGCGTGCAGGCTCTTCCGGCCCACGAACCGCTCCAGGCACTTGCTGCAGCGGTAGTACAGCTTGTCGCCTGCCATGGCAGCCATGCGGTCGTGCGTCTTGAGGTGGGTCAGCAGCTGGCTGCGAGCGGCGAAGCGCATCGGGCACATCTTGCACTTGAGAAGCGACGAGGCCTTGCCCGCCTTGCCGGCCTGGTTGTGGGTCCGCAGGTGCTTGCGCAGCGCCATCCACGACGTGAAGTGCTTCTGGCACGACCGGCAGCTGAAGCGGTCCCCGGAGCCGTGGAAGCGCGTGTGCGCCCACATGGCGGCGTTGGAGGAGAACTCCTTATCACAGACGTAGCAAGGCACTGACTTGTTGGCTTCCTCGGCCTGCTGCTGCTGCGCGGGCGTCGGTGCGGGCTGCGGCGGCGGGGCGTGCTGCTGAGCAGTGTGCTGCTGCAGGGCGGAGCGCGTGGCGAAGAGGATCTTGCACACGCCGCACTTCAGCATACGCTCCACGTGGTGCACCTCGCGCATGTGCGCCGCCAGGGCCTTCTGCAGGCGGAAGCGGCCCCCGCAGCGCTCGCAGACCAGCGGCAGGCCCACCTTGTGGCCCGCCTTGTGGCCCAGCTCGTGGCTGGCCAGCGAGCTGCTGTGTCGGAAGCGCAGCGGGCAGTGCGAGCAGGCGAAGGGCTTCTCGCCGGTGTGAACGCGGTAGTGCACCACCAGGGTCTGCTTCGTCTTGAAGCGCGCGGGGCACCTGTCGCAGCTGTAGGGCCGCGCGGGGTCCTCGTTGAGGGGGCGGCCCGCACGGCCCGGGCGGCACTGCACCTCGTCGTAGGGCGCCGCGCCCTCGAGGCGCTCCACGCACGTCAGCCGGTCGGGGCCTCTGCGGCGCGCCGCGTCGTCCAGGCGCATCTTCTCCAGCACCACGACGGGCTGCCGCACTTCCGGGTCCGGCTCGTCGGCGGGGTGCATGGCGGCCCAGTCGTCGTCCCACTCGTCGTACTCGATCTCGTAGTCGTCGATCAGGTCCTGCTTGATGGACAGCGACACCACCGAGTCGATGATGAGAGCTGCGAACAGACAAAGGGGGAACCGCGTCAGTGGCGAGGCGAGCAATCGTCGAATCCGGCCCAACCCACATCCCAAGAACCAAGCAGGACAGAGAGCATACCACCAAGAAACACGAAAACCCAGCCCGGGAGAACAAACGGACACCAGTGGCGAATGCAGTCAGTTTTATTTAACACCAGCAAGGCCCTGAATAGCACATACGAGAAACAATGTCTAACAAAGCAAAAATTACTGAGATCACTTTGACACCCTCATCAAACAAAGCTAAAAGAAAATGAGGGCTACAGTTACGAAAACAGGTGAGAGCAGATGACACAGTAGACTAGATAAAACTATTAAAACTATTCCAAAAGTTCTTATAATAAAATATTGGCGAAATTAAAACAAAGGGAAACACGAAGAATCACATCGAGACTTGCAAAGAAATGACTGCATCAATCAGATTGAAAAAAGGCAAGCTTAGGCGCTTGACCTGAAAAAGGCGAGGAGACTCACGGCTCGGATTGCAGCCAGTGAGTCAGACGGCGGGGTGCACAGGGTGCGCGGGGAGCACGGGCTGCACGCAGTGCACCTTGCGCATGTGGTTGCCCAGGGTGGTCTTGTGGCGGAAGCGCTCGGGGCACAGTCCGCACGCGATGGGCTTCTCGCCGGTGTGCGTCAGCATGTGCGTGCGCAGCGTGCTGCGCTGGGCGAACGTGCGCCGGCAGTGGCCGCACTGGAAGGGCCGCTCGCCGGTGTGCACGCGGATGTGCGCCACCATGTCGCCGCGCAGCCGGAACGCCATGGGGCAGTGCGGGCAGGCGTGCGGCTTCTCGCCGGTGTGGATGCGGAAGTGCGCGTCCAGGGCCGCCGTCTGCCGGAACCCCTTGCCGCACACCGAGCAGCTCACGCGCATGGCCAGCGGGTCGCGAGGCTGGGCGGACGACGCCGACGACGCCGACGACGCCGCGGGGGCCTTGGCAATGACGGCCGCCGCGAACGAGGGCATCGCGGGCGAGGCCCACGTCTCCATGCCCAAGGACGCCGTGCCCGACACCGCAGCGTCTTCGCCTTCCATCAGGCCCAGGCCGTCGTCTGTCAGGCAGCTGTCGTAGTACAAGTCGTCACCTGCGGCAAGAAACACTCAGTCAGACGGGCCCGGAGCAGGAAGCAAGCGGGGCCGGGCGGAGGGGCGGGGCGGAGTAGCTGTGTGGTTGTATACAAATGACAGGTAGACGAACCGAGCGCTGAACGGGAGAGGAATCTTGAGGCAAAGACACATCGCATCAAAAGAAGGATAACATGGTTGGTATATTTATAAAGGCGCACAACGTGTGTTCATCACAACAACAACAACAAAGTCATGGCTGTATCACTCAGACGCGGATCCCAAGGACCTCCCAAAGGCCACAAACTGCAGGGCGGGCGGTCACAGCTGTCACCCATACGTAACTGCAACGTAACCCTGGGCCCTAGACCCGTACCTGCCCTGCACAGTGGATGTGGAGGCCTTTGGTGGAGGCCCCCGCGCGTCACGGCCCCCACTTGGGCGCAGACCCCGGACCGGGCGGGCCACTGGTCGGGCCACCAGGTTGAGCCCCACAGTTGTCCTGAAGGAACTTCTGCAGCTCTTGGTCCCTGCGGTGCACCTGGGCGTGGTAGTCCTGGCTGCTGCGGTGGCGGAAGGTCTTGGGGCAGTGCGGGCACTTGTAAGGTTTCTCGCCCGTGTGCAGGCGGTAGTGCACGGCCAGGTGCTGCTTCATCTTGAACTTGGCGGGGCACACGTTGCACCACCAGCGGCGCTCCGCGTCGTCCTGCTGGCCCTGCTGGCCCTGCTGGGCGTGGGGGAGAGGCCCGTGGGGGCCCTGCATCCCGGTTGGGCCGTGGACGCCATGAGGCACCGGGTGGGTCTGGCCGCTGGCCATGGCAGGCAGCGCAGGCGGCAGGCGACCCAGGCCGAACAGCGAGGCGGCCTCCTTGGGCAGGCGGCCAGCGCCCCACGCGCCCTGCAGGTGTCCTGGAAACACAGTGAAAATGGTTAGCAACAGCCACGCCGCAACGCGCCTGGACGGTACCCACCCGCACGGATGTGCACACTCGAACATGAAGGGCGGGAGGGGCGGGAAATTAAAAAAAAACGCTGACAAGAAGAGACATGTATTGCAACAATGAGGAACAGTCTAGGCGGCGTGCTTCTTGAGGTGGTGCTTGAGGTTGCTGCGGAAGCTGAACCGGGCGGGGCACAGCGTGCACGCGTACGGCCTCTCCCCCGTGTGGATCCGCATGTGGTCCGTCAGGGTGCAGGCTCGCGTGAACCGCTGGCCGCACGTGCCGCACTGGTGCGGCTTCTCGCCCGTGTGCGTGCGCATGTGGTCCAGCAGGGCCTTGTTGTTGGCGCACTGGCGCGGGCAGTACGGGCACGCGAACCGCCCCTGGCGGCCCTGGGCAGGCCGCCTCGCCATCAGGCCGCCGTGCCGGCATTGATGGAAGGCCAGCGTAGCCTCGTCCGCGGCGGACGTGCCGCACAGCGGGCACGTGCACGCCGCCACCACGAACTCGGCCTCCGCGTAGCCCGCCGCCCCTGCGAAAACAAAGTCAAGACAACAAGCGGTGAGTCTCGGTGCAAGAGGTCAAGCAGGGGGGCGGCGCGGACGGGGCGTCAAGAAAGCAACTCGCTTAGAAAAGGAATGTCCTTTAATGACAAGTAGCACAAGTTACAAGTATAAAACAATGTACAAAAACACGGCGCTTAAAAAAGAAATTTTCCGTCAAGGCAAAACTAGCGAGGTGGTCTTTGAGTCGTGCGAGAGGTGGGGGAGGCGCCGGCAGCGCTGACAACGGGAAACGCGAGGACCAACGCGCCAACCAGCCTGCACTGACGGGTCACTGCCACTTGTGCCTGCGCTCGTGCAGCTTGAGGTGGTCGCGGCGCCGGAAGCGCGCGGGGCAGACGGTGCAGCCGTAGGGCAGCTCGCCCGTGTGCAGCATCACGTGGCGCGACAGGTGCTCGTAGCGCTTGAAGCGCATGCCGCACGTGGCGCACACGTGGGGGCGCGCGCGCTCGTCGTCGTGGCTCATGTGCGCGGTGCGGCGGTGGCTCAGCAGGGCGCGCTTCGAGCTGAAGTCCGCCTTGCCGCACTCGGGGCACGTCAGCACCAAGTCCGGCGCCAGCAGCGCCTCGGCCGCGTCGGCAATGTCGCCGGAGTCGTTGCCGTCCCACATGTCCATCTTGCCCATCAGCACGTCTGCAAAGAGAGAGTAAAGCAAACAATTAGAGCGGTCCAGGCAGCATCGGTGGCAGTGAATGTGCGTGTCTGAGGGAGGTTGAGTTTAGCGCGTTAAGGAAAGGAGGACTCAGGTTGGCAAACGAACACATTTATTAGTCGACGGGGCCATCGACAGCACGAAGTCACGCCAAGGCAAGACACACACTCAGGCATACAGACTAAAAATTATCATACAGCGGGAAATTGCTAGGAAACAAGAGGGAAGAAAAGTTCGCCGGCAGTGGAGTGGGGCACGACTCTCCCGTTTCGAGCTCGATAGTCCTTGTAAGTGTACTCGGATGAAACAAATGATGGTACCAATCGATTGCCCTTTGAAGACATAACCGATTGACGCCGCCAAAGGTTTGATTCGAGTCCATTGAGAGGACTGTAGAGCTGAAAAGAGTGTCGAGAGCAGTGTGCGCCTACCAGGCCAGGCGGCCGGCAAGTCGTCAGAGGCGAGGCCGGCGCGCGCGGGCGGTGCCGGCGTGCTTCTTGACGTGCTGCACCATGCAGTCGCGGCGCCGGAAGCGCGCGTCGCAGTACGGGCAGGTGAAGGGCGTCTCGCCGGTGTGGCGCAGCATGTGGCGCGTCAGGTGCTCGGCCCGCTTGAAGGCGCCCTCGCAGTACTTGCAGGTGTAGGGCCGGCCGCCCTGGTGCTCGCTGCGCCGGTGCTGGATCAGCAGCCGCCAGGTGGACACGTGCAGGCCGCACGACTCGCACTGCAGCTGCCCGACCTTCCCCTCGGGGCCTGCAGGGCCTGCAGACAGAAAGCCAGAAGGTCAGCTGGGTCCTACTCGGCCTGGAGTGCGGTGGCCGGATCGTCCGGCAGGGCGCGGCCAGGGGTCTGCAACAAGGCCACACAATCCGTACCTTAAACAGAAGTGAAGAATAGTTCCGCGGTCTACGGGCGGTATACGGTTGGGTCGACGTTGTCAAATTTCAAGCCCCCAATCACATTGAAACACACTTTATTACTCTTTGTTACAATGCGTTAAAGTAAAGGAAAGAAGCAAACTGAAACAAAGTTGCTTAAAGACTAAAAAGTAATTACAACTACCCACATCCAGAGCAAAAAAAAAAACAAAACTAATGCTTATGCTTCAAATCATAGTCAGCATTAAAAATTATCAGGAGGCATTTGATTCAATGCACCAAAAAGCACCTCCCATAGGCTTTCGTAAAACTGTAATGCCATTTTAAAACATAGAAACTTAAAAACTAAAATGAAGATCATTGTTCTGATGACAAATTTAAAAACATTATGACTAACATGGCTACTTTAACAAAAAATCTTTCAAATGTACTACCCTGCCAATTCCTTGATACTCAAAACAACGACTGAAAATATTACATGTCGAGACTAAAACAATCACTCACAGCCGTCATCCAGCGGAACCCTAATTTTATCCAATGCAATACCATCGAAGTGAAACATAGGATAAACTGAAATGCAAGTTAAAAATAAATCCTAGAGCTTAATCTGGAGAAAAACAAGCAACACAAACACTGGTTCTCGTCAAAGCAAGCCGATTGTTGCAAGCTGCTTTTAAGTTTTACACCCATTCAACCAACCTGACCAGCAGCTCAATAAGATAACGGCAACAATGTATGGCAGACATTTGATACACTTAAAAAACAAATTGAAACAAATTAAAATAAATCTAAAAGTCTCGTCATGAGAAACATGAGAAGACCAACCCAAGAGCCACTACCAGCCAGGAGATCGGGTTGGTCTGCTCGTGTTACTGCAT